TCTTGTAAGTCACAGGAGTGCACTTATTGTTGCTCTGCTAAGACCTAGAATCAGTTGATCAGCGCCAGTCCCCTTCTCCAGGTTGTGGATCCAGTGAGTGCTAGAGGTGTGGAGCAGACAGCTGTGATTGACAGTGACTGCTCTCCACTGTAAGCATACTGACAACTGAGGGATCAGCTGCTCTTGGTCTTAGAGCTGATGTAGTACAGTTGCAGCATCACAGAAATGCTGCAGCACTCAGGCAAATATGAAGCTTTGTTTGTTTTTTTTTTAGAAACCCCAAACCTTTCCTTTAACCCTCAAATATCTACAGTTTAGTGTTCCCTTTGCTATTGGCATATGTACTGTCTCCTCAAGATCAACAGAGCTTTCTAACACCCTCAGAAATAAAAATTGTGGATGCCTTCGAGTCTAGAAAGGAATGTAAAAAGATTTCCAAATAGTGTAAAATCAATAAATCTGCTGTAAGGTAAATTATAAGTGGAACAGATTTCAAATCAGAAACAGATTGCATCAATTTAATCCACATGAGCAGTGCAAGAAAGTTTTTGTTGTCCAAAAAGAACATTAGAGTGTGACAACTGTTTGTCTATTAACATATAGGCATAAAACAGGCCTTATGGATCAATTTAACAATATAGTTAGTACTCAGCGTTCAGACATCTAAAACAAATCAGCTGAACTGAAAATGCCCCTCAGCTGCTGGAAAAATACACCCCTAGTTGAACAATAGCATAACATTGGACCAGTGCTCCAAAGCACTGGTCCTATTTACATCCTATGGAACAACTTAATCAGACTTGTTTGATCTTAGGAACCGTAGACATGTTTTCTGAACACAGCAGTGAAACATGGTGGAGGAAATGTCTGGGGTTGCTTTGCTGCTTCAGGACCCAGACAGCTCACAGTCATTGATACTATACATTTGGCATCATATTACAGTGTTTGATGAGCATGTGAGTCCTTCTGTTCAAAGGTCCACTAAAACATGTCTTTCAACACAAGGATTTGTAGTAGAAAATCCACCAGGGAATGGCTCAGTTTAAAAGAAATAGAGGCTTATGGACTTCCCTAGTCAAAGCCCTAATTTGATTCCCAATGAAATTGTGTAGGTGGATTTTAAAACAAGCAGTTCACAGAGCATTACCCACAAACATCTTGCAATTGAAGGAATTTTACATGAAGCAATCGCACATCTCAATGACTCAACATCAAACCGGTAGGCAGTTAAACAAAATGCCCACAAGAAGTAAATTCTGCTAAGATGGACAAAACAAACTTGCCTTTTACAAAGTCATCACAACTTCCATCAATATTTTTGTTGAATAACTGATTGAAAAGGCAAATTATTCTTGCTTTTTTTTTATTCAAGTAAAATCGCCTTAATCTATAGGCACTGTTTGAATTAAGATCTAATATTTGCGTGTTACTTTTTTACATTAATGTACCTTTGCAGTTTGATGAAAAACACATTTTACATACAATAAGAGTAATTCCAAGGGAGTCGATTTTCTCGTAATGGAAGGTAGCAGGAATGACCAAAGAAAAACAAAACATACATATACAAAAACAAAGGTGCAGCTTAAACCTGTCAAACATACTGTGGTGTGAACTGTCCTTTTCTCTCTGAACCAAGACAGGAAAAGCAGGCAAGTTGCAATATTCTGGACAAAAAAAAATACTGGAAAACAATTTACCATAGCATTCTTGTAAATAAATATTGAATGTTGTAATTGTTTTTGTCAAAATATTTAGCCACTGACATGCAGAAAGCATTCTCCTCAATTTCAGTCTATAAGGGTAAATACAAAGCAGAGGAAACTGTTCCAGTCTTTTGACAACCAAAAGTTGTAGTCTTGTAACAAACCTTTAAAGTGTATCTAAACGCAAAAACAAAAATGTAATACATTGCAGTTCACCAGGTCTTTAAGTTTGGTGGCTGCATTACTTTTCCTCTTATTTTCTGGTAGGGATAGGACAATAACACACATCCTCCCCATCCGAAAAGGTGACAATGCTCACTTTCTGCATTTATGAAGGAGCAGAAGCGTTGTCATTTCGAGGCTGCTCTCCTGAATTGGACTACAAAACCCTTCCATTACATAGAGGGGTATTGCTTTGTACAGTGAAGGAAATAAGTATTTGATCCCCTGCTGATTTTGAATATTTGCCCACTGACAAAGAAATGATCAGTCTAAAAATCGAATGGTAGGTGTATTGTAACACTGAGAGACAGAAAAGCAACAAAAATTCAAAAGAAATGCATGTCTAACAAATGATGCACTGATTTGCATGTTCATGAGGGAAATAAGTATTTGATCCCCTAATATTCAGCAGGATTTCTGGCTACCAGGTGTCTTTTATACAGGTAACAAGCTGAGATTAGAAGCAGTCTCTTAAAGGGAGTGCTGCTAATCTCATTTTGTTACCTGTATAAAAGACACCTGTCCACAGGAGCAATCAAACGATCAGATTCCAAACTCTTCACCATGGCAAAGACCAAAGAGCTGTCCAAGGATGTCAGGGACAAAGATTGTAGACCTACACAAGGCTGGACTGGGCTACCAAAACTATCGCCAAGCAGCTTGGTGAGATGGTGACAACAGTTTGTGCAATCATTCGCAAATGGAAGAAATACAAAACAACTGTCGGTCTCCCTAAGTTTGGTGCACCATGCAAGATCTCACCTCGTGGAGTGTCAATCATGAGAACAGTGAGGAATCATCCCAGAACTACAAGTGAGGATCTTGTCAATGATCTCCAGGCAGCTGGGACCACATTCACCAAGAAAACAATTGGTAACACACTACGCCAAGGATAGAAATCCTGCAGTGCCTGCAAGGTCCCTCTGCTCAAGAAAGCACATGTCCAGGCCCATCTGAAGTTTGCCACTGAACATCTGAATGATGTAGAGGACGACTGGTTGAAAAAGTGTTGTGGTCAGATGAGACCAAAATCGAGCTCTTTGGCATCAACTCAACTTGCATTGTTTGGAGGAGGAGGAATGCTGCCTATGACCCCAAGAACACCATCCCAACTGTCAAACATGGTGGTGGAAACATTCTGCTTTGGGGGTTTTTTTCTGCTAAGGGGAGAGGACAACTGCACCGCATCAAAGGGACGATGGATGGGGCAATGTACTGTCAAATCTTGGGTGAGAACCATCTTCCCTCAGCCAGGGCATTGAAAATGGGTCGTGGATGGGTGTTCCAGCATGACAATGACCCAAAACACACGGCAAAGGCAACAAAGGAGTGGCTCAAGAAGAAGCACATTTAAGTCCTGGAATGGCCTAGCCAGTCTACAGACCTTAATCCGATTGAAAATCTGTGGAGGGAGCTGAAAGTTCGAGTTGCCAAACGTCATCCACCAAACCTTAACGACTTGGAGAGGATCTGCCAAGAAGAGTGACCCAAAATCCCTCCTGAGATGTGTGCAAACCTGGTGGCCAACTACAGGAAACATCTGACCTCTGTGATTGCCAATAAAAGGATTTGCCACCAAGTACTAAGTCATGTTTTGTGAAGGGGATCAAATACTTATTTCCCTTATGAACATGCAAATCAGTGCATCATTTGTTAGACATGCATTTCTTTTGAATTTTTTGTTGCTATTCTGTCTCTCAGTGTTACAATACACCTACCATTCGATTTTTAGACTGGTCATTTATTTGCGAGTGGGCAAACATTCAAAATCAGCAAGGGATCAAATACTTATTTCCTTCACTGTAGATAACAAAAGATAACGGAGAAAGCTGATGGTTTGAGATCTAAGTTCAGTCCTCAAAAAATACAAGGCCATAAGATTACTAAAATTATGAACAGGTATTTTACTGTACTCGCAGAAGATAAGAAAACTAACTCAGTCACTACAACTAAGGACTCATGAGCTGCGACATATTACATTTTTGCCCTTCATTTTAGATATCCTCTGGAATTTATTTGTTGCACTTAAAAAAAAAAATTACTTGTTTTCTATCGGCTTTGAAATAGGATGATGGCTGTTGTTACTCAGTGTAGAAAATGTGTCACTCCATTCTATATTAGACATGTTAGGCCATGCCGAACAAATACCATCTTTCAGATAGTGATTCAATTAACAACAAGTGCACAACAGATTCCCCTTTAATGGACTGGAACATGCTCTTTACAGGAATGACTCATCATTGTAGTCCCTGGTGGTACTCACAAACATTTCACACAGAGAAAAACAAACTCTAAAATGTTTTTAATTTATATCTGGAATAAATTATTTTCTTGAATATAGTCCAGTTGGGACATACAGAATACTAGTGACAAGAAGGCATCTAAGCAGGTAGACCAGTCACTATATATTGCCTTTATTACACTAAAAGGGGTTGGGATTAACCAGGACCCCTTAATCCCAAAGCGAGATGCCACAATACACTCTTCCAGCTGGATCTGCCGAAAATCATTTCATCTCAGAGCAAGGACAGCTGCCAACTTCTCTCCTTTGGTCTTTTAGAAAGCAACAACAAAAAGAAAAAAAAAAAAAAAAAAAAAAAAGAAAAAAAAAGAAAACTGCTTTATACAAAGTGAGGAAGGTAATTTCCTCTTGTTCCTCAAACAGAAATGACAGAAGGTATGCTCCTGCAGAACCTGTTAGAGGCATGGATGTAAGTGTATACTCCACAGAGACAGTCCTCCTTAACTGAGGTGGAAAGGCATGCAAGGCTATGCACACCCCTATGCAGACAGACAATCTGATCACTTTGGAAATGCCAAATGGGACCCTGCAACAAACTCCCTGCATTGTTGTATTTGTCTTCATCCCCTTCCAATGGGGAAATCAGTCCACTGCTGCATGCTACCTTCCCCTCCTTCCTTAGGCGAGGCCTGGATCCAAAGTCAGTAGCAGCAGTTAAAAAAAACAAAAATAAATGATGTCAAGAGAATTCATATCTCTCTTTCACTCCTACCTGCTTATTTTTTCCTTTTTCTTCTGCCCCAAATTTCCTTGGGGATAAAAATAAAACTCTGTTATTCGTCCGTTAGATCCTGTACAAAGAGAAGCTGTGAGCGGCCAAGTCCAGCCTCCTGAAGGGTTGGAGGCACAGGGGCTTCCTCACTGGGAAGGCACGGCAACACCCTACGAGGAAAATTTGCCACTATCTGGAAATGCTCCGGGGTCTCTTTCAGAGAGAAAAGGAAATCATGAATCACCTAAAAAAAAAATAAATAAAAAACACTACAAATTGGTCATATTGAAAACGAAATGTAAAATCATAAAACAAATACCTTTCTGTGCAGTACCACAGAGAGCTTAGCTCCACAAACTATCACCTGCAAACAAGGCTGCAACTCACCTCGTAAGGGATAACATATTGCTGGTTCACAAGTGGGGGACAAGTGTCCTGTATTTATATAGTGGTAAAGTGATATTAAACCTTCAGTTTTTTGGTTTTTTTTCAATTAACTTAATATGTCCATACTTATTTGATCTGTGCAATGCTTTTGCACAGCGCAGCCCCAATTCTCTTCTCCTGGGGTCCCTCATCGGAGCTCCTGGCCTCTTCTCTTCGGCGGATGCCCCCAATAAAAGCCACTTTCCATGAGGACACCAGTGCGGGCATGCTCCTGAGCTGCTCTGTCTGCATTCATTAACACAGATTGGGGGGGCTCCTGCTGCCATCAATCTGCCCAAAGAGGAGGGAGAAAGCGGGCCGCTGCTCTTGTGCACACTGCTGGATCGCAGTGTGCTCATGTAAGAAAGGAACGGGCTGTGGGGGAGCTGCACCATAGACAGTATTTCATCTTAATGCAGTAAGGTGAAAAACCTTAAATACACACCTCTCAATTTACCTCCCAGCATGTCTTTGGTTTGTGAGAGGATTCAGAGGGATACACCACACAAGCAAAGAGAAAACATGCAAAGCTCCATGGAGATAGTGTCCTGGTTGGGTTTTGAGAACCCCATTGCTACAAGACACATGTGCTAACCACTATACTACTTTGCTGCCCTAGTGATAGATGTGGCAAATGAGTGCATCACTAGAAATGGTGGACTTACTGATAGGGGCTGTGTGAAGAGGAACCTCCGCTCCACTCTAGTATCATTTGGCATCTTAAAACCGATTTTCACGCTGTCAGGATGGTCCGGCTGTGGCTCTGCAGGAAGACACTCTGACCTGCGTTCCTTTTCTTCTTGCAGGGTCTGCGGAACATGTCAGAAATTAAAGAAAAACTTCAGATAAATATTTTAGTAATTGATACTGAACACCTTCATGACCGCATAACATATATACGGCATCCATGAAGTTGACTTTAAAGCCTAGGAGCTGCATATATGGGCTCTAGTGTTTGCCGATGACAGCCCCGAGTCTCGTACTAACAATTGGGACCCAGGGGAACCGAGTCCTGATCACATAATGGCTGTGATAGCCTCTCATGCACACAAATGTGGTATCTACACAACTGACAGGAGTAGGAGAATTTATTTTGCTTATTTTTTTATGTTGGTGGGTAGTGGTAATGGCACAAAAATAGAAGACTAAAATTGACATTTTTTAAAATTATTTAGGGCCAGTTTTCTTTTCATAATAAACACAATATCAAGAGATATCCATTAACATTTACTACCAAATGAAAATGCAATCTTTACTAAAAAAAATAAGGTATACATTCACCTGGATACACCAAGTAGATACAATTATATGTACAGTTATACTCACAAATGTGAAAGTTGCAAAATTGGGTCTGGGTATTAAGGTTTGTTTTGACCTAAGCCATGAAGGGGTTAATTCAATATATTAACCACTTGAGCTCCAGAGGATTTACCCCCCTTAATGACCAGGCCTCTTTTTGCTACTCGGCGCTGCACGAATTCAACTGATAATTGCGCGGTCATGCAATGCTGCACCCAAACGAAATTTTTTTTCACACAAACAGAGCTTTCTTTCGGTGGTATTTGATAATCTGTGCGCTTTTTATTTTTCACGCTATAAACAAAAAAAGGCCAAAAAGTTTGAAGAAAAACAATATTTTTTACTTCAGCTATAAAAAATATACAGTAAACTCAAAGTTGGTTATAAATTTAGGCCAAAATGTATTCTGCTACATGTTTTTGGTGAAAAAAATCCCAATGAGTGTATATTGATTGCTTTGTGTGGAAGTTATAGCGTCTACAAACTATGGTATAGATACTGCAATTTACGCCATTTTTCTGCTATACAGCGCTGCGCTAGTTTAACGGACAATTGCGCGGTCATGCAATATGGTACATAAATGAAATTTACATCTTTTTTTCCCCACAAATTGAGCTTTCTTTTGGTGGTATTTGATTGCCTGTGCGGTTTTTATTTTTTGCGCTATAAAAAAAAGGCTGACAATTTTGAGGGAAAAAAAAACAATATTTTGGACTTTTTGCTATAAAACATGTCCAGTAAAAAAAAATGTAAAAATCAAATTTAGTCATAAATTTCTGCCAAAATGCATTCTGCGACATGTCTTTGCTAAAAAAAAAAAAAAAAAAAAAAAAAAACAATACGTGTAAATTAATTGGTTTACGTGAAAGTTATAGCGTTTACAAACGGCGGGAAAAATACTGGGATTTTTTTTTTTTTTTTTTTATACTAATAATGGCGGCGATCAGCGACTTATGGCGGCAACCTATGGCGGGACTGCGGCGGACATTCTGACATTGGGGGGTACTGACTTGGGGTCACTGACATCCCCAAAAACACTAATACAGTGATCAGTGCAAAAAAATAAAAAACTGACACTGTACTAATGACACTGGGGAGGAAGGGGTTAACTTTATTTTGCAGGGAAGGGTTATCTGTGTGAGGGGAGAGTTTTACTAGGGGGCGGGGGTGTGTGCTGCATGGGACACCGCTGATCGAGAGAGAGAAACTCTTCTTTCTCGATCAGCTCGTCCTCGAGCTGTCAGGGAAGTGACAGAAAGCACAGCTACTGCAGCTGTGCTGTATGTCACTGTTTGCCGCCGATCGCCGGGAAAAAGCCGGTAAGGACCGGCTGTGATCCGGCGACTGACATCCGCGGCGGTGATCGGCGGGACAGATAGGGTGGCGGCGCGCACCCAGTTTACAAAAACACACGTTTTAAAATGTGGTTTTGCCTGCCCGTGTCGCCCTGCCGCCGTATTTCTACAGTAGTTAATTAAAAAAAAAAAAAAAAAGCATGCATGTTAAAAATACAGCTAGTATAAATACTGGATTATTTTTTTTTTACATCTGCTTCCTGTACTACCCTGTACTGTAGCCTCACAAGAACTCTAAGACGAGACAGTCGGTACTCCGTTACATTGCACACTGTGAATTTGCTTACAGTAGGATTAAACACAAGGCTTACCTACACTACTGTTTAATCACAGGCTAGGAAGAGAGGTGACTAAGGAGTGACTATTTGAGAATTGACTGCTGAAGTTCTGTTTCATCTGCTGTGTAAGTTCCAATACTATGATTTAACAAGAAGGTTGTTAAATCAAAGTTTGTAAAAAAAAAAAACCTGTTAGTGGTATTATAACAAAGTGGAAGCAACTGGGAACAACAGCAACTCAGCCACAAAGTGGTAAGCCACTTAAAATGACAAGAGCGGGGTCAGCGCATGGTGACGTGCAACAGCGCGCAGGAGTTGCCAACTGTCTGCAGAGTCAATGGCTAAAGACCTCCAAATTTTGTGTGGCCTTCAGATTAGCACAACAGTGCGTAGAGAGCTTCATGGAATGGGTTTCATTGCCGAGCAGCTGCATCCAAGTCTTATATCACCAACTACAATGCAAAGCGTTGATTCAGTGGTGTAAAGCACACCGCCACTGGACTCGGAGCAGTGGAGACGTTTTCTCTGGATTGACCAATCACGCTTCTCTGTCTGGCAATCCAATGGACATGTCTGGGTTTGGCGGTTGCCAGGAAAACAGTACTTGTCTGACTGCACTGTGCCAAGTGTAAAGTTTGGTGGAGGGGAATTATGTTGTGGGGTTGTTTTTCAGGGGTTGGGCTTAGCCACTTAGTTCCGTTGAAGGCATACCAAGACATTTTGGACAATTTCATGCTCCCAACTTTGTGGGAACAGTTTGGGGATGGCCCCGTCCTGTTTCAACATGAACAGTGCACAAAGACATGGATGAGCGAGTTTGGGGTGGAGGAAAGTGACTGGCCTGCAAAGAGTCCTGACCTCAACCCGATAGAACACCTTTGGGATGAACTAGAGCAGAGGCTGGGAGCCAGGCCTTCTCGTTCAACATCAATGCCTAACCTCACAAATGCCCTTCTAGAAGAATGGTCAAACATTCCCATATACACACTCCTAAACCTTGTGGATGGCCTTCCCAGAAGAGCTGAAGCTGGTATAGCTGAAAAGGGTGGGCCAACGTGTGTATGTGTAATATATATCTACATACATACATCTTTGCTCATAGTTCTGCCTACCGTATATACACTCGAGTATAAGCTGACCCGAATATAAGCCGAGGTACCTAATTTTACCACAAAAAACTGGGAAAAACTATTGACTCGAGTATAAGCCGAGGGTGGGAATCATTGGTATCAGTGGGAGGAATAGTGCCCCATCGTTGGTATCAGTGGGAGGGGAGTTGGAGGAATAGTGCCCCATCATTGGGTGTCAGTGGGAGGAATAGTGCCCCCATTATTGGTGTCAGTGGGAGGAATAGTGCCCCATCATTGGTGTGCCCGCATCTATGTGTCAGTGGGAGGAATAGTGCCCCATCGTTGGTGTCAGTGACACCAATGATGCGGCACTATTCCTCCCACTGACACCAATGACACTTGCTGACCCCTGTTGCAGTATGGTGCTGCTGCAGCCAGCATATGTGGTTGCAGCAGCACCTCTGCACTGCACACTTACCTGTCAGCTGTCCTTCTTCACTCCGGCCTCTCCCTCACTCGATTTTCGCGGGTCCGCTCGGCTCTGCCTCCTCGCCCGTGATTGGCCGCCTGTGTACCTTTCCTGAGCTACAGTTCTGGCGGCCAATCACCGGTGAGGAGGCGGAGCCGAGCGGCAGGAGTGAGGGAGTGGCCGGAGTGACGGAAGGAGCAGCGCTTCCTGGATGGATCATCGTGGGACTGGGACCGGAGCCAGGTAAGAGACAGCAGCCCTCTGCCCACCCCTGTACGCGCCCCCCTTGACGGAGCCTCGCGCCCCCCCTGCAGACGTTGACTCGAGTATAAGCCGAGGGGGCCGTTTTTCAGCACAAAAAATATGCTGAAAAACTCGGCTTATACTCGAGTATATACGGTATATTGAAAGGCACTCATTTAAAAAAACTACAGCTTGTGCCTGTTCCAATTTTTTCATGTACTAGAAGTGTAATTTAAAAGAATACAAATTTACCAGACCATGATATATAAAACTGTATGTCGACAGAAAAGAGGTGTAAAGCAAACTTATGCCGTACAGGTACACACAAATCTTTCCAAATCTATACCAGAATCCCAACTTTTATCATATTGTGAGCCAACTTAAGGGTAGGGGACACAGAGCAGAATTAGGGCAGGGTTTTCTCAACCAGGGTTCCATGGAACCCTAGGGTTCCTCCAGAGGTTGCTAGGGGTTCCTTGAGCAATGAACATTTTCTGCCTCTCAGATAAGTTCCCAATGGCCTCATAGGTCTTTTTAGCCATCTGTAAGGGGGTAATTCTTCCCAATGACCACGAGTGTGAGGAGCATTCTTCCCACTGACCAATCTCACAATGTATCATAAGATGTAGATAGAGAAAATTTATAACAGGGGTTCCCCGACACCAGAAAGTTATTTCAAGTGTTCCTCAGTGTTGAAAGGGTTGATAAAGGCTGAACTAGGGTAACCACGCTGGAAATTACTGGTCTCTGTTCTTTATAATGAGATTGCATACTAAAGTTTAACTTGAAATAAAATGTGGTTCTCAGGTATAAAGAATAAAAATAAGTTAGCTGTACTTTGTTAGTGTCAGTTTGTGAACATTACCCTTTTCTTCCTCTCCTCTGCCAGCTGCCTGAGCTGTGCCTCTTCTTCCTCTCTTCTCTTTTGCTCCTGCTTCTCCCTCTTCTTACGTTCCTTCTCCTGATCAGCTCTCAGGGAAGCTAGGTATGCTTCATCCTGTTGCTGCCTCAGGACCTGAGTCTGGTTTCTCTCCTCCCTGAAAATGAAAACAATTATAAAGTGGTCCTTTTTATCCAAGGGTGTATTCATAAAGTTGTGATTTTTATCATCCTTTTTAACAGATGGAAAATGCAGGACAGCTGCAGGCCACTGCAAGTCAAAAAGCAGACTAAACATGGAGATAAAACTCCTGGAACCACACCTTAACTCTTGTATATTTGATAGTGTAACTTCACATGAACATTAGTCATGTGTTTATGCCACACTAACAAAGTTTTAGTAAGCAAATATAGTGCATGGCACACATATAAGGCTGCACCAAATTCAAAGTACTTTAAAGCCATATAGCCACCTGCTAATACAGTACTGTCCAAATCACTTTTTTTTTTTTTTTATACATCATGCAATATCAACCATGATTGCATGGCTTTACTGCTGTCTGTGCTCTGTTGCAATGATTTTCTCCATCTTCCTGGGGTGCCTGTAAAAACGGGAAGTGAGGGGAAATCTCCCAAATGAGGATACAAATAGAAACAAAGAACTAATAGGTACATTTTTCATTTGGTGATGTTGGTAAATTGTACAGTGGTCATGAATGGACACATTACTTGTCAATGCCAGGTAATAAAATATATCTTTTTGCCCTTTTATCAACAGGTTTAAATTGAAGCAACCACGTGGGGTTGATTTACTAAAGGCAAATATACTGTGCACTGCAAGTGCAGTTGCTCCAGAGCTTAGTAAGTGAGGTAAAGCTTCACTTGCAAAGAATATCCAACCACATGCAAGAAAAAAAAACAAATCACAACATTTCTGCTTATACATGATTGGATGATAGAAATCAGTAGAGCTTCCCCTCAAATCTAGAGCAACAGCACTTACAGTGCACAAATTGTCTACCATTAGTAGATCAATCCCATTGTGTTCATTCTTTGTAAGAGAACTTTCTCAAAGTTTACCAGCAAATACGATGCAATTTTACAAATAAATTATCCTAACCTTTCCAGTCTCTCAGACACTAAGTAGGTTTGGTTGGCATCCATAATGAAAGTCAGTTGGTTAATTAGGTCCTGGGGTTGAATTAAACCTTCCAGCCTTCCCACCACCGTCATTCGGCGGTCCTTCAGCGTTATCATGGCTAAGAATGGGTAAGTGTTCTCACGAAGAGCCTGGGAAACTAAAAAACAAAAAATATTAATTACTAAAATATACACATTTTACACAATGCAAACTTTTAGCACAGCTACACATTCACCTCTGAATCCCTCTGGCTTGTTAGTAGAGCATGCCCAAAACAGCATTCTGCTGTTGATGAACTGAGAAACCTCTGATGTGCATAGGGTGTTCCTACAGCAGAAGAAAAAAAAAAAAAATATACTTTATCACAAAGCCTTCAGGCTGAGGAGGCAGTTCATCAGGTCAGATCCATGTGATTTACCCAACTTGCAGTAGGGCACATTAGGTAGTACAAGTTAAATGATTAAGGTCTTAGTTCAAGCCGCATTAATAATTCAGTACACCAGTCTTGAGATCTTTATTTGTTTAACCACTTCCAGATCGCCCTATAGCAGAAGTACTGCTACAGGGTGGCAGGGATGCGTAAAATCACGTATAAATACACACAATTTGCATTTCCAGGTAGGGGGCCTGCACGCGCGCTCCCTACCTGCGCCGCTATTGGCTCCTCAGCATGTCAATCACCAGCTCCCAGCCGGGACTTGATGATAGTTGGCAAAACTGACAGGGCAGAGGTCTGCGTGTAAGCACAAATCTCTCCCTTGTCAGCACGAGCATGCTGCTTTGTATTGCTCTGCACAGCAGAGCAATACAAAGCAGCATGTGTGCATAGTAAAACACAACACAATGTTAACCCTTTGATTGCCCCAGATGTTAACCCTTTCCTGCCCAGTGTCATTAGTACAGTGACAGTGCTTTTTATTAGCACTGATTACTATTAGTTTCATTGGGGATGTCATTGGCAGTTCCCACCCAGTGTCAGAATGCCCACCGCGGTTGCTAATCGCCGCCAGTATATATACACACACACTGCCATTTGTAGAAGCTATTCACGTAAACCAATTAACACATATTGGGTTTTTTTCCCTATCAAAGACATATAGCAAAATACATTTTGGCCTATATTTATGAAGAAATTTTATTTTTTACATTTTTTTATTGGATGTGTTTTGTAGCAAAATGTCAAAAATATTTTTTTTCCAAAATTGTTGGTATTTTTTTTGTTTATAGCGCAAAGAATAAAAAAAAAAACGCAGAGGTGATCTAATACCACCAAAAGAAAATTCTATTTGTGAGAAAAAAAAATTACATAAATTTAAGTACAGCATTGCATGACCGCGCTATTGTCAATTAAAGTAACGCAGCGTTGTATCGCAAAAAATGGCCTGGTCAGGAAGGGGAGTAAATCCTCTGGAGGGCAAGTGGTTACATTTCCACTAAATGCAAACAACACATAGAAGCATGTGAACACCGACAACCAGCACTGTGTGCAGTGATACTTTCTTAGTTATTCCACTATGGATAAATCATACGAGTTGTGATGCCAGTTACAGAACTAAAGGGTGGATCTCGGCAATGTGTCAATGCAGAAAGCACTACTTCCAAAAAAAAAAAAAAGGTATAGTAAGATGCAATCTCAGCAGTCATCTGTCTCATACAATGGAAGTTGACTGCCTGTAGAACAGTAAATAAACCTCCCATCAGTAACACGCTTCTTCACTTTATAGTATTCTCATGTAATGTTACAGCATTCTTTTTTGATATGCACCTCTCAGTTAACATCGCCATCTCTAGTAACATGACTATTTCTTGCCAACACTATCTTATACAGCAGTCTCTTAACATGCATCACACTCTGGTAGAAAAGTAGTCCAGTGCATGTGCAACAGTCTTGTAACGTGTTACCAGACAAAGATGCACAAAGCAGTTTTGTCTTCACATGGCAATGATTAAAGTGGGTCTGTTGAAAAAGGCTGGGTAGCAAGTATAAGCAGAAGCATGTTTCAAAACAAAAATTCTCAGGATATAGGACACGTCAACAGGTTAGATAAGCAGAAAACATACTCAAGTCTACAAGCAAAAAATAAATATAACAGAGAACAAAGCTCACCTGCAAAACTCATCAGAATCCTGATGATCCTCCCCATGCAGATACACCAGCAAAAACCGCAGCTCCTGTTTGGCATCATTAAGAGCCTGCCATAACAGACAACACCGTTAACGGTGAATTATCAGCAATATCAGAATAGGCTATAATCAGGAATAAGACAGACTTTTTTTTTATATTACATGTAAAGACATAACTGTGCTGGTCAGTTATCATAGGAAATAATGGGTTAGCAAAGTGCTAATAGAATAATGTACATTCTAAACAGGAAGGTGGAGGTATGTAGTGCGAAATAAATATGTAATATGCATATTGCCTTATTCCCTACAAATGATAAAACTTTATATAGCCATTCTGTAAAATAGGAAGAAAAAGTTTTCACACTACTGTCATAAGTGTCGGCTATAGTATATTTTTCTGGTTTTCATTAGACAGGGATTTAAAGCTTAAAAGGAATAACAGTTAAAGTGGAAATGCAGTCAAAAAAGTTAAATCCTGATACATGAGCTATGTAAAACAATCAAAATAAGTGCCTATACGGTTTTAAATCCAGCAAGGCACTGCCACACACTGCTAAAATCAGAGCCACTAGAGGCCAATCAGCTGACAGTTTTAAAATGAACTGTTGCTGAAGAGAGAAGAAAGCAACAGGGATAACAATGACTGTGTGGAGGGAACACAAATTAGGGAGAGAGTGAGAAGAGAAAAGCAGGAGATGTGACAGGGCAAACTCTGCTGCCAAGGAGACACAAAATAATTAAACTTACAAGTATAGGGTCTTATCTCCCTGATATTCTCTCAATTCTCTCTGTGCAGCCTGTGACTTTTTTTTTTTAACAGTTGGTAGCCTGTGAACTTTAGCACTGTTAAGCTTCTGCAGCCTTCCTCTTGAACTGAGCCAAGACATACAATCAAAGCTGGAAATGCACACATTTTAATTGAAGAATGTGATATAGACTGTAGTTTTTGAGATAAAGGCAAGGAGAGTTTCTAATAAGGAAATGACTGCCCTGGGCTTCAATAAAATGGCAGCATCCAGAAGGAAAATAGAAACAGGAGCAATGCTGGAGGCAATTTACAGAACACACTAATTATTAATGTGGAATGTATGTTCTTTTTGAACATCAAACTGTTATTCGTAAATGTTCCACTTTAAGCTTTCTTCTCTTTCAATTTCTAGACGGGTTTACTTTGTGGCTATAAGGACAAGTCTCAGGAAAAACACATTTGGTATATTAGCCTCATAGCACACATGAAGTTTTACAATATTTGAATGCACCAGAGCACCCTGAAACCAGGGACACTATTATACAAATGACTTAATTTCTAAAGTCAGAGCTATGGCCACCCTATCCCACTCAGTCAGTGAGACTGACCATCACAGTTATGGACCAATAGAGAAGCTCTCACTTTACAATCTTTATATTTACTACAATTTGCTTTAAATAGAAACTACATTTAAATCCAGCCTTCCCAGAATGGTAAGTATTACCTGACTATAGGTCCCCTGGTAAAACACGGGGTGTGTTCTGCCATACTTCTCTTCAAACATCTGTATAAAGGAGACTATGTCCCCAACAGGGTCAGTAACTCGGCTACGAGGGTCTGGTCGAATAAAACGAAGAGCAAACCTAAAATTGAAAAAAATATACATTTTTGTACAGGTTCCCCCTGTAAAATGGCTTATAGAAAAATATAAGCAACTTACCTAAATATATCAAGTAGTGTGTAATATGTGATGCGGAATGGAAGCATGATCAGGTAGTAACCCCAGCCCAGAAGCCCCTAAAACAAAACAACCATATTATATAGCTCACATTTATCCTAGCATCTGAAACTTCAGTTTTCACTATTGCCAAGAAAAGCAGTTAGATTCTTACACTTACTATATCAGTGAAGATAGGAAAATAAAAATTCTACATGTGATTAGTTCCTCTACACATTCTTGTTTCAGTTTGGCGACTATTTTCTCTACTCACCCTGGGCTGTGGCCGGGACACGACATAACTGTATACTCTATGGTCGGCTGTATTCACTTGCAGGGGCCGGTTTGGTGCTGTGTTAAAAACACTAGGAACACCCTCCTGTTCATTCAGTCTGTCCTGGACAGCTGCCTAAAAATTAGATAAACCAAATTTAACATCATTATATCCATTCCTCTTCTTCTTAACCTAGTTTATGTGCATATACCTCTATATTCCAGTTGTGCTGTTGCAAGGTTTGGCGACATTGGTCCATTGACTCTATTCCGGTCAAGTCCTGGAAAAAAAAAGGAGGGGAAAAATGTTTTCAGATTAAATATAACAAGCATTACAGCAAAACTTTGAAATTATACCAAGACCCAAAAATCCTAGATGCCAGTTTACTGTGGCAAATATTAGAATCTGTGTCAACAAATGCAAGATTCTATGATGTGTTTTTCGGGCACTTTCTAGCCACAAAATCTGTTCCTGATCTTCTTTCTCCTCTGCTTTAAAACTAAGGAAAAGTCTCTGTACCAATCACACTCAGGTAAGAACAAGGGGAGGCTGGGGGGATCCTGCAGCAGAGAAGGTTTTTTATCTCCATGCATAGAATACATAAAGGTAAATAAACCTTGAGCCTGTCCTGGACAGAATACCATGCGGCACTGCTCCGGCATTTGTTCTTCACTTACCTTACCCTGCGCTCCCACGATGTGTCCCCTGCAGCATCCCCGGCCATCTCCTCCAGCCGATGCCGGCATCCGGCTTCTGTGTCCTGTCCCTGTGACGTCGGGACGTACGGGCGCCGCCACCGCCGGGAAATTTAAAAAAATGTCTTTTTTTTTTTTTTTTTTTTTTTACATTTTACATAGTAAAACATTGCTGTCTCAACCAATTTCACATACATTTTGTCCCAAGTGCTTTGTCCTGTGCCCTGCCTGCATTTTGTCTGTTCTTTCTGCCTGGAAACTGAGAAACGTCCATGGCGTCCAAAAAGTGTCCCTTTAGGTCAAAAGCGGTTTAGATCAGCTAGAGAACAGCGATAGTAAATCAGAACCACTTGCAGAATTGAGTGATAATGATTCGTGGGGGAAATTAGTCATCAGACACTGAAAACGATTTTGCGACTGAGCTCAGCAATGTGCGAACTTGGTGCTCTATTTCAAATTTCAGTGTTTTTGGTTTGATTATATTATTGAATTAAATGTATTATTATATTGTTATTTTTTATGAGTAGTATTTATTAAATTATAATTTATGATTTCGTGTTTCAAATTTTATCCTACCCGGGATGTTTACTAGACTCTTGTTCGGACAGATTTCAGCGAGTTATTCCTAAAAATTACAGCCTACAAAAAAAAAAAAAAACTACACATTTCCATGCAAAATAATGGTACCGCTTTCAGCACCAAAAATCGGAAAGAATCATACCGCCAAGGAGGTTAAAGGGGGGGGGGGGGGGGGTGATTATTCTCTATACCCACTGTATGTGTCAGTCTTCATTTCAGGCTGCAAAGCAAAAGGTGACTATTTTAAAGGGGATGATTATTTTCTTCACCCAGTGTGCCCAAATGCAACTAAAATGACATCAATTGTTTTATGTAATACAGTAGTAAATGGTTCTTATGTGGTTTCTTCATTGCCACAATTATTCAACCCCTTAAAGACTACCACTCTGAAGAACAGAGGTTCATACAGGTGCTTTCCATCAGGTATTTGAAAACACCTGTGGATGTCACCGAGCAGCAATCAAGCATAATAAGCACCAATTAGGCAGCTTTAAAATGACTGTGATACTCAGCTCCTTCTAGACATTTACTGGTGTGGTTACAAACATGGTGAAGGCAAGAGAATGGTCCAGGAAGACAAGAGAAGAGGTGATTTCTCTTCACAGGAAGGGCAATGGCTATAAGAAGATTGCAAAGATGTTAAACATACCAAGAGACACCTTAGGAAGCATCATTCGCAAATTCAAGGCAAAGGGCACTGTTGAAACGCTACCTGGTCGTGGCAGAAAGAAGATGCTGACTTCGACTGCTGTGCGCTACCTGAAGCGTAGAGTGGAGAGAAGTCCCCGTGTGACTGCTGAGGAACTGAGAAAAGATTTGTCAGATGTGGGTACAGAAGTTTCAGCCCAGACAATAAGACGCACACTGCGTAATGAAGGCCTCCGTGCCAGAACTCCCAGGCGTACCCCCTTGCTGTCTCCAAAGAATAAGAAGAGTCGACTGCAGTATGCCAAAAGCCATGTGGACAAACCACAAAAGTTGTGGGATAGTGTTCTGTGGACTGATGAAACAAAATTAGAACTGTTTGGGCCCATGGATCAACGCTATGTTTGGAGGAGGAAGAACAAGGCCTATGATGAAAAGAACACCTTGCCTACTGTGAAGCATGGTGGAGGGTCAATCATGCTTTGGGGCTGTTTTGCTTCTGCAGGTACAGGGAAGCTTCAGCGTGTGCAAGGTACCATGAATTCTCTTCAGTACCAGGAGATATTGGATGGAAACGTGATGCAGTCCGTCACACACCTGAGGCTTGGGAGACGTTGGACCTTTCAACAGGACAATGATCCCAAGCATACCTCCAAGTCCACTAGAGCATGGTTGCAGAGGAAAGGCTGGAACATTTTGGAGTGGCCATCGCAGTCACCAGACTTAAATCCGATTGAGAACCTCTGGTGGGACTTAAAGAAAGCAGTTGCAGTGCGCAAGCCTAAGAATGTGACTGAACTGGAGGCCTTTGCCCATGAAGAATGGGCGAAGATACCCGTAGATCGCTGCAAGACACTTGTGTCAAGCTATGCTTCACGTTTAAAAGCTGTTATAACTGTAAAAGGATGCTGTACTAAGTACTAAGATTGAATGTCACTTGGGGGTTGAATAAAACTGATAATGCTGTGAGCACAGAAAAGACATTTGTGGTTATTTCATTATAACTGTTATGTTATATTTGTCTGACCTACAAGTGCCTCTTTAATGTAAATGTAAGCAAGATGACTGAATGATCAAAAGCAATGTCAAACTGGCCAAAACACTCAATTTCAGTGGGGGTTGAATAATTTTGGACACAACTGTATATATATACACACACATATACATATATATATATATATATATATATATATATATATACACACATATATATATATACACACACACATATACATACATATATATACACACACATATACATACATATATATACACACACATATACATACATATATATACACACACATATACATACATATATATACACACACATATACATACATATATATATATATATATACACACACACACACACACACACACACACACACACACACACACACACACACACACACATATACACACATATATATATACATATATACACACACACACACACACACACAAAGTATTGAACACGTCCCCATTTTTCTCAGTAAATATATTTTGTAGGGGTGCTACTGACATTAAATTTTTGCCACATGTCCGTAACAACCTATGCAATCCAAAACATACAAGGAAACCAAAACAAATAAGTTCAGAAATTAAAGTTATGTGTAATAAAATGAAATGACACAGGGAGAAAAAGTGTTGTACACGCTTACTGAAATTTAATACTTCAAAACAAAATCCTTTGTTGTTTATGACAGCTTCTAGATGCCTCCTGTATGGAGAAACTAGTCGCGTACATTGCTCAGGTGTGATTTTGGCCCATTCTTCCACAGTCTTCAAATCATGAAGGTTCTGTGGGCGTCTTCAATGAACTCTGATCTTGAATTCATTTCACAGATTTTCTATTGGATTTAAGTCAGGCGATTGGCTGGGCCATTCTAGCACATTTATTTTCCTTTCTTTCTTTGAAACCAATTGAGATTTTCCTTGGCTTTGTGTTTGGAATCTTTGTCTTGCTGAAATGCCCACCCTCGTTTCATTTTCATCATCCTGGTAGATGGCAGCAGATTTTTATCAAGGATGTCTTGGTACATTTTTCCATTCATTGTTCCTTCTATTATATGAAGTTTGCCAGTACCGTATGCTGAAAAACAGCCCCACACCATGATGTTCCCACCTCCAAACTTCACTGTTGGTATGGTGGTTTTGGGGTGATGTGCAGTGCCATTTGACCTCCAAACATGTTTGTGTATTATGGCATCCAAAGAGTTTAATTTTGGCCTCATCTGACCAGACTATATTCTCTCAGTATTTCACAGGCTTGTCTAAATGTTGTGCAGCAAATTTTAAACAAGTTTCAATATGCTTTTGCTTTAGCAATGGAGTCTTGTTTTGGGAGCATGAATACAGGCCATGGTGGTTGATTGCATTACTCATTGTTTTCTGTGAAACAATTGTACCTGCTAATGCCAGTTCTTTCTGAAGCTCTCCACAAGTGGTCCTTGGACAACTCTTCTGATAATTATTTTCACTCCTCGGTCAGAAATCTTGTGAGGAGCACCTGGTGTTGGCAGATTTATGGTGAAATTATGTTCTTTCCACTTCCAGATTATGGCCCCAACAGTGCTCACTGGAACATTCAAAAGTTTAGAAATCCTTCTGTAACCAATGCCATCAGTATATTTTTCAACAATAAGGTTGAAAAGGTCTTGAGAGAGCTCTTTACTTTTTACCCATCATGAGATTTTTCTTGTGTGACACCTTGGTAACGAGACGCCTTTTTATAGGCCATCAGTTGGGACTGAACCAGATGATATTAATTTGCACTGCCAAGAGGTAGGATTGTTTTCTAATTACTGATAGATTTCAGCTGGTGTGTTGGCTTTTCATGCCTTTTTGCACATCCTTTTCTTCATGTGTTCAATACTTTTTTTCCTGTGTCATTCCATATTACACATAACTTAATTTCTGAACATATTTGGTTTGGTTTACTTGTATTTATGTATTACATGGGTTGTTGTCGACATGTGGTGAAAATGTCAATAGCTCCTTTAGAAATATATCTACTGAGAAAAATAATGACATGTTCAATACTTATTTTAACATGTGTGTATATTTTTATATATATATATTTTTTAATTTTAAACCCTTGTTAGACAGCAAAATGTCTTCTCTAGCCCATATGTATTTCTTTGTATGTTGCTACCATAAACCCCAATATCTGTTTTGGGGGGTAAGGGGGTCTGTGCAAGGAAAATAAAATCTGCATGTCATAATTGTCCTTACAAATCTTTGGCGCATACTTGTTTGCTGACTTTTACACAAGCTGGCTATCTGGGATCTTGGGAATTGTTTAGCCCTGGCTTAACAAAATGTGTTTCTAGAAATACAATTTAAGGCACATAAAATA